AACTTTTCTGTAAATCTAAAATTATTTCAAAACAAACAGTTAAGAAATAAAATTAGGAAGGAGGGAATGGTACTTCACAGCTAAAAATCCTTTACCTTATGGCAGGTGAGTAGTGGAAGGACTGGTTTTAGGGAGTCTATTACTCACTGTTTGACTCTGTAATCTTTCCTCATTAGAAATTAAATATACGCCGAGTCAATTATCAATTAAGTGACAAGTAGGATAAACACTGTAGGTGCTAATTGACCCCTCAAGGTTTCTTTGAAGTTCACTTAGCTTCTCCAGGTTCTTTGAAGTTTTGTTTTGGCTTCAGCAAGTCATGGCTCACATTGACTAAATTCTGAAACTGTGCTAGGTTAATGGGGACAAAACAGGGGCCATTGCAAAACTCCCCCCGCCCCTTCTGAATTGTACTCTGCGTAAGCCAGGTATGCAAGAGGGGTAGGGTTACCCTGGCTAGTGAAAAATAGAATTCAAGTCTTAGAAAAAGCCTAATGTAACAGATTTTTACTTAATATAATAAGGCAGGCTTAATCCAAATCAGGAGCCCTGGTGGCGCAGTGGTTAAGAGGTCAGTTGCTAACCAAAAGGTTAGTAGCTCAAATCCAGGAGCTGCTCCTTGGAAACCCTGTGGGGCAGTTCAACTCTGTCCTATAGGGTCGCTATGATCAGAATCGACTCGACGGCAATGGGTTTTCTGGTTTAATCCAAATCAAGCTAGAAACATATTTGCTTTTATTATCACTGAAGATTTCCAGAGAGGGCGACTACACAACCTGCTTGTTCCGCTTGTGTTACTTCCTTTAAGTATCTTCCGTCTATGTCACGCTCATCCGTATCTTAATTTGATCAGTATTCATTGTATTGGGAGGTGAAGGGTTTCTGCACGGAGGCATGTGCCTGAATAAATACGCAAGGGGAAGCAAACACGTGCTGGAGTGAAGACAGGCATGTGTTCAGCTGCCACAGAAAGGGAACAGGCCAGGATGGGCGGACGGGGCGGGGCCATGCTATGGAAGGCGTTTGGATGTCATACTGATGGCCCCCGGCCCAGTCATTGAAGATTTTTAAGGAACTGAAGTGTTTAAATGTGGTTTAAGGATGCATTTTAAATGCATTGTTTCTTTCTTTTTGATATTTCTAGAGGTATAGGTTATATGCCACACACTCAAATCACTCCATATATTAAAAAACAAAAAAACACTTGGCTAGCTTCACTGCTAAACATTTATTTAACTGTAAGAAAAATTGTAATTACTTGACCATGGTGCAAAATGAACTAGTAAATGCAGCCCTCGTAGAAAGCCAATCTATGTAAAATACAAATCTGGCTAGTCAAAAAAAAAAAAAAAGAAAAACTCACCTGATATACATATATTTGATTAGGTTTAAATTACGAACTTATTCCACATTGAACATATGATAATTCTGGCACATTACATCGTTCGCTACATTTAGACTGCCTCCAATGTCGCCCTGGCAACTGTTACATAAAACAGAGCTGAGTTGGTGATTTTACTGAGAATTAAATGAAAATAAGGCTAATCCTGTTCTTGTGCTTCACAATTTTCCAAACAGCTTCTTCTTAGAGTGCCCTTGCTTGGATGTTCTTTTAAAAATAGATTATTGGAAAAGTATATGTGTTTGTTCACTCACTCTACTCACAGCCATTAACACTGTACTCCTGCCTCTGAGCCATAACCTTGTGCTTCAGATGGGTCACATCCACCCACAATGCTACTTAGTATTTTTCTTGCAATTCAGACGTGGGTAAATCTTTCAAACATACCAATTTGGACCATGAAACAATTCAGAAACTGTCACTCTAAAATTACTGTAAAATAATAGCCTTTAAAAGATAAGCCATATTATGCATTTGTATAAATCTTAAAAGGGCACTTCAAGTTATTCTGTTCTGTATCTGGAATGCGCTAGTGTGTGTTTCAACAGTTATTTAGGAAAGTCACATTTTCCTTTTCAGGCTTCATTTAAAAGTAACTGAAAGATGAGTCCTTGATTTAAAAGTAGTCCCACAGCCATGCCAAAATATTTAGTTTATGATAACCCCTGAATACCACCCCCAAAAACCTCTGTCTTCGGTGATACTCTATCGATGCTAAACTGCTTCTGAAGTGACCCTTCTCCTCTATGTTAGTCATCTGTTCAAGGCTTCAGGATGAAACCTGCTGTCCTACCACAGTCAAAGGTAATCTCCTGACACAGCATTAAACCTCAAACTTGGACTGTATCTTTAAGGAGGTCTGTGGTATAGTGAAAACAAATGTAGTTTGGAATCAGAGGGCTTGATCTTGAGCCCTAGCTCTGCCGAGTACTATGTAAGTTAGTCATTGCTTACCCTTTGGGCATCCCAGCTTCTTCATCAATGAAGGGTAGTTAATAGTGTTAACTACCCAAAAACACTTTTATGCCAAGAAAGTTGGACAATATAAATCATCATGAGAATATAATAACTAATACAACTCTATGTCTGTAATAATGGCTATTAAAAGAAAACAAGAGAACACATAGATCCAACAATCAGCATACATCAGCTCAAAAGTCACACAGAGTCAACCTTCCTATCGTTAATCCTACTTTGCTCTCAGATCTTCAATCTTGGTGCTTTGGGAGTTTTCAGAGATCTGAAAAAAATAATCTGCCATTCTGAATCCAGGCACCAAAAAATTAGGGAATGATTTCTCTAGCTGGCCATACCAATATTCACTATATAACAATGGTTATGAATTGGCCCTATCGGGCCCTACAGATTGCAGTAGTCCCTCTTGACATCTTAGCCAAAACCAAAACAGAACAAACCAAAACCAAACAACTTTTCAGCACACTCATGACTCCATTCACACACACTTTTCCAAATCTGACATGAAATAGTTGGGGTACATGTGCTAGGGGGAAGACCCAGATAGAGATTAAACAAAGAGGAGGAGGAGAAGATATCAGAAGAATAAATAGTAATGAGAAAAGAAGAAATGGGCAAAACTAAGTCAAATATCCCCTAATTCTTGATCCCTATCTTTAATGAAAATCAATTAAACGAAGGAGCTACTGAGTAGTAGATCATGATGTGTGTGTACAGGTCATTCTTGTTCTTTCGCGGGTTTGTGTTTCTCTCATCCACCATCCTCTAATGTCAGTTCAGACTTTGTTATTGACATCTTCATCTTAAAGCTTCCTTTCTTACATAAGTTATTGGCAAAAGCCTTCCCTGATCATGGATTCCAGAATCATTAACAAATATGCTTCACTTTTTGTTTCTCTCTCTCCCAATCTGATATCTTACCAGCAAGATCATCAGCCAATGTCCCTTATCTTTTGAATTTCTTATAAGTAACACTTTTAACAGTAATCATATAATTTCTGAGAATCTATCATCATACATTTTGTTTTACAATTATTTTCTGAAAACCACAATAATATTTTAAAGCTAAGAGGGTTTTGGATCACCTACATCTTTTGTGATTGACAGAGAGTAGGCATATGATAAATGTTTATTGAATTAGAGAAAAATGAGAGAGACTTTTAGTAGAGCTCTCTCATTTAGAAATAGTTGAGTGGCTTCTTCAAGGTCACAAGGAATGTCTGGCAGAACTTGTATTGAAATGTGGATCATCCAACTCTCAGATCAATATTTGTTTTCTGTACCTCTGATGTTACATGAAATGAGATGGGTAATAATTGAATAATTTCAACATTTTTCTTAAGTGTTTAAAGTTACAGTTGTGTAATATTTAATAAGAAAATGGACAAACTTGCTCAAAATGAAATTATGGTCCAAGATGAATAAAATTTAAAGCAAACATCATAGGGGCAATTTCTTTCCCTTAGCTGAATTAAATTATAATAATTAAATTAATTTCCCCTAACTGAAGCAACATTTAATATAAGGACAATAAAACTAAAGGAAGAAAATAATTTATCCATGGATATAGACCCTTCTGCTTTGAGCCTGGAGTTTTGGAAAATAAATTAAATTAAATAATTGATTTAAAACAAATGGTTATATTAAGAACATGTTTAGAAATTTTATGCAAACTTAATATAGAAATATACACAATCATTCATTTCATATTCTCCTCTCCCTATGTATAAATGACCATTCCGTCTGTGTTCCACAGTAGTTCAACTTAAAAAGATTCTCTATATATACATACATATTCAAGTTTTCTCAAAGTTCAAGATCTGAATAGATAATTGATGCAGTTTCTAAAAGACTAAGAAATTAAATAATAATAATAAAAAAAACAGTTCATCCCACTACAAATGAATTAATTAGAGGTATAATTTAAGCATTTAGATATCTATTCTTTTAATTCTCCCTTTTAAGTTGCACTTACAAACACAGCTAAAGCTGTTCTTAAAATCAACACAATCAAACATAAATAGACTGCAATTAATTAGATCTTGTGTTCCATCTCCACTAACATACAAACCAGCAACCTTATCATCTATCTGTTGATCTACTTTATAGACATGTTGGACAAGCATTTATGTTATCTTAATTTGCCTTTAACATTCTCCTAGCCACAGCCATGACCTCAAAGAGGTTACCCGATTGGGTGCACCATGTTCAAGGAGGAGAAGAAATACATACACGTGTCTGCACCAGAGTCTGTGAACACTTCGTAACATAAAAGAAAATCATCAGTCCAAAGACACCTGCTCACAATGCTCAGCTCCAGACCAAATCCAAAACTAACTTAGCTGCCATCCTCTGTGTTGCTTTCAAGGGCTCCAAAAAGAGGCTACACTAAGTACTAGGGTACAGATAACTTCTCCAACTCCAAATACCAGCACAAAGACATCTTAGCAACTTTGAAGTAAGTCACAATCTCATACCTTTTTAGCAGCCGAAGTAACAAGGCAACAAAGGATCATTAATGTTGGCCAACAATGTCCAGTGAAGGAAATTTTGTGAAGAATTTTGGGAGGAATGGGGCAAACAGAATAACATCACGTGATCACATTTCTTCTCCAGGACTTACCATATAGATGGTGCTTCTGTTCCACTGATCTCTAGGAAGTCATATCCTTCTTCTAGTTGAAAGTCAGTGAAGACTAAAGCAATGGTGTCCCCTGGCTCGGCAAGAATGGTCCATGTACAGTCAGCGTTGTTTTCGTATTCTGAAGGGAAGTGAGGGCTGGAAATGGTGCTGCTTGTTCCACGTAAGGTTCCTCCACAAGCCCCCTCAGCTGGTAGGAATGGAAGCCAAAGGAGAAAAAAATAATTTTTACGATGTTTTCATACACAAGTATGTATATAAAGTATAATTTTTAATCAGTAACAGATATTTTCTAAACCCAGAATTGAGACACTCAATCTGGCAAATGATTGCTTCCAATTTGTTAAAGTACTCTGTGAAAGGTTTACAAAAGTTTAACAATTAAATCATACTATTAACAGGGTTACATTATTGAAAACAATGAAATTGTGGCTTTTCTAAAATCTGAAATGTGTAGTTGCCACATATCTGAGATTCACAGACAGCTTAATACTATTTTTAAAGATTTTTATCTGACTCTTGGGAGATGGAAATATGTCAGCAAAATTTTGAGTCTTAGAACTGTGTGGCTATCTTTTCTCAATTCATTGATACTGCCTGTGAGTACACTGTACTCTGAAAAGAACTAGTTGTACTAATTTAATTTCTATGGAGTTTTCAATCTGCATTTGACTTTGAGTTTTAGATAAGTTCTTGACTGGTATAATAAAACCAGAAAGAAAAAAAAAAAAACAAAAAACAAACGTGCTGCTGTTGAGTCGATTCCTACTCATAGTGACCCTATAGGATAGAGTAGAACTACCCCATAAAGTTTTCAAGGAGAGCCTGGTGGATTTGAACTGCTAACCTTTTGGTTAGCAGCGGTAGCACTTGACCACTACACCAACAGGGAATAAAGACCTATTAATTCATACAAATGTTCTGAGTAGAAAATAGGTGAAAACTTAAAACGGAACATCTTGGAGAAGTAGCAAGTAAAGACCATCAGAGTAAAAAAATACACTGGAAGTATACGTCAACATTGTAATACATAGTGATTTGAAAAACAATATATCTTGAAAAATTTGCCATGGAGTGATAAGCAGATAAGTTACTATACTTACATCATACTTTATTATAAAATGTGATATACTGAGTAAATTGAGAGGGCCTCAGAGATTATGAAGAAAGTCCCAAAACACTTCCATTTTTAAAATAAAAATTATATTTTAAATTATGTTTTCCATATTAAATTATATTTAAGTTATAATTATACTCTTATAATTAATAAATATTGAATATAGTTGTTATGAAAATTTGCTATATTTATAATGTTTATGTTTAAAAGATTAAGACTTAATATGACACATATATACAATAACAATACATATAAACTAATTTGAAAATCATGATGAAATAATTTGCCTTTACGGCCAGGACCAGCTGTCCATCCTGACCTACCTCTACCCTTCCCCACCCTCACATTTGTGGTCAACCCGAGTCCACAAGTGCCCTGCTCTAGATCTACTTGAAAAAAAAAATTGCCCAATGAAAACCTCATGCATGGAGTGGGACATTGACATAATGTCAGAAGATGAGACCCTCAGGTTGGAAGGCACTCAAAATACGACTTGGGAAGAGCTGCCTCCTCAAAGTAGAGTCAACCTTAATGACATGGATGGAGCAAAGCTTTCAGGACCTTCGTTTGCTGATTTGGCACAACTCAAAATGAGAAGAAACAGCTGTAAAATCCATTAATATTCAGAATGAAGAGTATACAAAAAATGAATCTAGGAAAATTAGGAGTTGTCAAAAATGAAATGGAACACATAAAATATCAATATCCTAGGCATTAGTGAGCTGAAATGGACTGGTATTGGCCATTCTCAATCAGAAAATCATATGGTAAACTATGCCTGGAAAGACAAATTGAAGAGGAATGGTATTGCATTCATCATCATCAAAAAAAAATTTCAAGGTCTATTCTGACGTATAACGCTGTCAGTGATTGGAGAATATGCATATGCCTACAAGGATGACCAATTAGTATGACTATTATTCAAAGTTAGACATCAACCACTAATGCCAAAGATGAAGAAATTGAAGATTTTTACCAACATCTGCATTCTGAAATTTATCAAACATTTAATCAAGATGCACTGATAATTGCTGGTGATTGGAATATGAAAGTTGGAAACAAAGAAGAAGGATCGGTAGTTGGAAAATATGGCCTTGCTGACAGAAATGATGCTGAAGATCACATATAGAATTTTGTAAGACCAACAACTTATTCATTGCAAATACCTTTTATCAACCATATAAATGGTGACTATACATGAAGAAATCACTGGATGGAGTGAATATATAGGAATCAAATCAACTACATCTATGGAAAGAGTTGATGGAGAAGCTCAACAACATCAGTCACAACAACGTCAGGGGCTGACTGTGAAATAGATCATCAATTGCTCATATACAAGTTCAAGTTGAAGGTGAAAAAAAATTAAAACAAGGTCAAGAGAACCAAAATATAACCTTGAGTATATCCCACCTGAATATAGAGACCATCTCGAGAGTACACTGGATGCATTGAACACTAATGACCAAGGATTGGATGAGTTGTGGGATGACATCAAGGATATCATACATGAAGAAAGAAAGAAAAGAAAAACAAAGGACCAAAATGGATATCAGAAGAGACTCTGAAACTGCTCTTGAACATGGTTATCGCTAAAGCAAATGGAAGAAATGACGAAGTAAAACAGCTTAACAGAAGATTACAAAGGGTAGTTCAAGAAGACAAAGTATTATAATGAAATGTGCAAAGACCTGGAGATAGAAAACCAAAAGGGAAGAACACACTAGGCATTTCTCAAGCTTCAAGAACTAAAAAAAAATTCAAGCCTCAAGTTGCAATACTGAAGGATTTTATGGGCAAAATATTGAACAAGGCAGGACACATCAAAAGAAGATGGAAGAAATACACAAAGTCACTGTACCAAAAAGAATTTGTCAACTTTCAAACATTTCAGGAAGTATCATATGATCAAGAACCGAAGGTACTGAAGGAAGAAGTCTAAGCTGCACTAAAGGACCTGGTGAAAAACAAGGCTCCAGGAATTGAGGGAATACCATTTAAAACGTTTCAACAAACAGATGCAACGCTGGAATCTCCCACTTGTATATGTCAAGAAATTTGGAAGGCAGCGATCTAGCCAACCTACTGGAAGACGTCTATATTTGTGTCCATTCCAAAGAACAGTGATTCTGCAGAATGCAGAAATTATCAGGGGTTAAGAGTTAAGGACAGCTTTGGCTGCTAACCAAAAGGTTGGCAGTTAGAATACACCAGCCGCGCATTGGAAAACCTATGGGGCAGTTCTACTCTGTCCTGTAGGGTTGCTATAAGTCTGAATCGACTCAATGGCAAAATTTTTTTTTTTTTTTTGGTTATCATTAATATTGCACACAAATAAAATTTTGCAGAATATAACTGAAAAATGGTTGTAGCAATATATCAACAGGGAACTGTCAGAAATTCAAGCTGAATTCACAAGAGGACATGGAACAAGGGATAGCACTGTTAATGTCAGAGGGATCTTGGCTGAAAGCAGAGAATACAAGAAAGAAATTTACCTGGGTTTTATTGACTAAGCAAATGCATTCGAATGTGTGAATCATAACCAATTATGGATAACATTATGAAGAATGAGAATTCCAGAATACTTAATTGTGCTCATGTATAATCTGTACATAGACTAAAAGGCAGTCATTTGAACAGAACGAGGGGATACTGCATCGTTTAAAATCAAGAAAGTTGCATTAGGGTTGTTTCCTTTCACCATACTATTTAATCTGTATGCTCAGTAAATAATCCAAGAAGCTGGACTATATGAAGAAGAATGTGGCATCAGGA